ATGAACACACAGCCATGAACACACAGCCATGAACACACAGCCATGAACACACAGCCATGAACACACAGCATCACTTTTGTTTCAGAGCTTATTTCCCCGTGTCTCAGCTGCTGCCATGTCATGAAATGTCTCCGTGAGTAAAAGCTTCAGATTCTTATTTTCTGACAACATTAAAGTGAGAAAGAGCTTTTTGTTAAAGAGTCAAATCCTTTGTTTTACCAGCAACAGACATTATATTGCTCACATGACCCCATTGACAAAAAACTTCAACCTTGTACCTCAAAGAGTTCATGTGGACGCTGCTCGATCCTTTAGTTTGTGTAGAAAAACCACACAACAACATAAAGTCTGAGTGAGGCAGCGGCGTCTGGCAGTGAAATGAAGTTTCTGCTTAAATAAAGTCTGTCAGAATCCTACTGTAGTAACTGAAGCTGCCAGTGGAGGGCGCCTTCGTTTCCTTGTTGAATGTGTCTTCATGTTTCTTTCTCTTTTGAAGCCACCGTCCTGTCAATCAACTGACTCACAATCACTTGAGCGATCATCACATTTGATTTCTGGGCGTTGGCTGTAAAACCAGTTGTTACTCATGACTCTGTGTTATTTACGTGTCCTCTGTCCTCAGTGACTAATTGTCTGACTCATAGGGAGGGAGGACGCTGCACAATCACGCACAACATGCAGCAGCCTGACTGACCTGAGGTCGGGCAGCTCGGGCAGCTCGGGCAGCTGGGGGGTCGGTGCAGCAGGAAACAGAACCTGCTCCAGCCTGTGTTCAGCTGCCAGTTCTACTGCTCTGTGCTGAAGACGCAGAGGCAGAGGGTTCACCGTGAACTCCACGCTGAACTTCATCCCGTCAAAGAACCGATTCAGCAAACTGCAAAGACACAAACCTTTGAAAACTCATTTTCTCTGTGAACCATCAGTGAAATGATCAGGTTTTAATTGTTGTGTGTTGCTGAATGTTCTGGGTCGTACTCGGAGCTGAAGCCCAGTTTGACTCTGTCCAGCTCCACACTGTGAACGAAGCCTCGGTACTTCAACCCCGTTTCTCCTGTGGGACAAACCAGCAGCGCATCTCCTCGCAGGACAGAGGGACGGTTCTCTGACACACCAGGTACCTGAGAGGAGGGTTATATACACTGATGGTCTATATATACAGTCATTAGCTAGAGTAGCTAGATTAT